ATTTTAAAATGATACACTTTCCCTAAAATTCATATACATTTCAACCTAAGATCTTGATGTTGAGTGAAATAATAAAAGTACATGGGTATGTTTTGTCAGCTACTGTGTTTATTTGGAGTCCAATAGCAACCTTATCCTTGGAAGCAGAGTTTCGTAGAATGAGGTTTACCATCTAGACACAATCCCTTTGAAGGCTCTTTCCCTCACAGTTCTGTTGTGCTCAAACTCTCTTCTGCACCACAGATCAGAGAACTCTGAAAGACCCCCAACCAGCCACCTGAATTATGGGACGATTAAACCTTAACCAACCCTGCAGCTACTGTCTCCTTTGAACATTTGCAACTTGTTCTAACCATATTCCGAATCTCACATGTTGTAACTAGGCCCTAATTGGCCTTACCCTACCCAAGCTTTTCTAGTTTCCTACTAATTTCCTTTCTTTTAACCCGGAGATAACTGCACATTATTTTGCCTTACTGTAAAGGACTTTTGTACTTTACCATCTCGCCCTGCTTTTCCTAAAGACATCCTCACCTGCTTTTCCTAAGCTTTTTGGCTGCAGCGATCTCGCACAAGAAGCTGCCAAAGCTGGCTAAATAACCTACCAAGCGACCACACATGACTGAACCATCACGCTCATATCTGCACCTCCACTATCCCGGTTCTCGCTTCAGCACCCTTGTTCACATCGGCAAAAGGACAGCACACCTCTCGGATCACATGTGCTGGTCGTAATGCAACACGTGCACACACACACTAATACAACACCATTTCTGAGCTATAAAGGCAAATGATTTGCTGACATTCACAGTCAATTTGCGGTGGCTCTTTGACCATAAACTCAAAAACAACACTAAAACTGCCTCACCACAAAGTCATGGAGTTTATCAAGACTAGATAGTATTTTCATTTTGACAGTTTCTAAGTTTGGTACTTGGATGCGAATTGTTCACTTGAAAGCATGTAATCAAGATGTCAACATGCAAGTACATGTCAGATTGAACCTCTGCTTTCTAATCTGTTTTGTATTGTGCAAAAGGCCTGTCGTGCAGGTTTTCAGTGACTGCAGCACTCTGATAGTGACTGTATCTATAACGACAACTGTTTGTTTCTAGATGCAATCCCTTGTGTATTGTCCTAGGCTCTAGTTTGGTGTTTATTTCTGTGTGTGCATTTGTGCTTATGTGTGAATTGTTTCTTCAGGGTGTTAAAAATTCACCTAAAATGTGATTTTATATATATTTGCATTCTTCAGGTCTGTTGAATTAGTGTCACTAACAACCAATGAAGTTTAATCTTTTAAGTGTTAATTCCCCTATCCTCTTTCTGCTTTTGGTTTGTGTGTATTTCTAAGCTAATGATTGGCGTGGCCCTTTGTAAACAGTGAAACACCCCAGCAGTCACGTATGCATAGTGCGTGCTATAGGTGTGTCTAGGTGCAGTAAATCGAAATGACCACTCGATATGGTGCTGTATTTTTATATTTTTTTTATAAATTGTTTAATATGTTATTTAAACTGCAAGTTAAACATTAAAGTGGATGTTATCTTGAGTGTGACGATATCACGGACTGACTCTGAGCAGTGGCGGCTCGTGGGTTTTAAAATAGAGGAGGCACACTAATTGTATTGGTCTGGGATCCCTGCCGATTATTATTATTATTGTTTGCTTAAAGGGGTCATATGGTGCGATTTCAAGTTTTCCTTTCTCTTTTGAGTGTATCGCTGCTCAGAAACACAAACTTAAAAAAAAACACACACACAAACTAAAAAAGAAAATCATTCTTACACATTTCACACATTTTCACAAAATACACATGCCTACTGGGTGTCATATTTTTAACAGTACAAAAATACCAAATTAGTTTTTTAGATATACATTACAATTCAGAAGTTTTGGATCAGTCCATTTTTTTAATTCAACAAGGATCCATTAAATTGATTGAAAGTGACAGTAAAACATTTACAATGTTACAAAAGAATACTACCTCAAACAAATGCTGTTATTTTAACCTTTCTATTCATCGAAGAATCCTGAAAAGAATCCCCACCGACAATTCCTGCCGGACCTGAGACTCAAACCCGCAACTTTTGGGTTTCAAGTCCAACTCTCTAACCATCAGTGGTGGCTCGTGGGTTTTAAAATAGAGGAGGCACAGTAATTGTATTGGTCTGGGATCCCTGCCTATTATTATTATTATTTGCTTAACCACTTTAAAATGTCTTTTTGGTTGCTTTTAGTCAGAAAACGTAAAGAAAACGACATACATACAGCAAAATAATATAATTTCACTTACCTGGCCTATCACTTGAAGCAAACATCCATCCCTTCTTAAAAGTCTGTGTTAAAAGAGAGCTGCCTGTTGCGCCATTTAATTAAGCCGACTGCTGTTGCTGTAGCCTATATCCAGCTTAGGCTGTTTTCCCTAAATTTGTATATATACTATTTGAATGACAGCTTGGTAAATCTGTTGGCAATCAAATATTCAATATCACTACTCATCATAAGTACTTGGTAGGCTACATTATCAGCGCAGCGGCAGACGTTCAAACTAATATCACGTCTTTTACGTCTCTTTGATGATTGCTTGATATCAGAAGGAGGCTAGCCTCCTCTACGAGGTTTCTTTTCTCAGCACTCCTCAGCGCTGAAAGTGAACACTCGATGCTGATTGGCTCATTTTTTTTACCAACGGAGGCACGAGAGCTCCGCGCTCCCCTGGCCGGCC